GAAAATAAAGATGTAAAATAGACAAAATATAAAGTAAAATTTACATAAATTAAAAAATGGTATACTATATTTCCCCTAAATTTAAGATATATTTTATTATATAAATTTTCTTTTCATTTATTATTTTAACTCTAAATAACTTTTAAAAAAAGGAAACTCTGACAAAATCTTTCACTTTTTAATTTTCCTCTATACCAATACTAGTAATTTTCCTAATCCTACCCTTCAATGCCGAGAAACTTCAGTTCTTAACCCACTTTTATAAATACAAGTTTTCTTTGCAATACATTATCTTTCTTAATATACCTTATGCTTACACATTTTACTCTGAATAATGTTTTTTCTACAGGTATATGGTGCTTTAAGTCATCAACATCTATAAACACACAAAAATAAGTAAAAATGAATCTTCATTTTAAAGGAGATTTTCTATATTATTTTGAGAAATAGCTTCCCTCAGGATTTTATAAAAATTGGATTTTGAATTTCTAGGTTGACATCAGTTACATGAAAGGGGAAATACCTATGTCCATTTTTCTCATTTTAGTCTTTTCTTCTGGGACATTCTTTCGCTTGCCATACACCGTTGCCAAAACACTCTTTTGACTTACTAATATCTGGAAATATTTGCAGTCTAATTACTTAGGCCTATATAGTGTTTCTCACTTGCTATTATTGACTAATTTCTCTTAGGGAAGACATAGGAATGAGTAATGCTCAGAAAATAACAGAGAAAGATTGTAAAAAATCAAAGGTCTCAAATAAACATAAAACAGAAATGTTGCCACCCTTCCTGTTTTTTTTTTCTTTTTCTTCTTGCTATTGTCATTCATTTATTATGAATAATAATGAGCAACTTTCTGTCTCCTGTCTGCTCCTTGAAAATGGAGACAGTGAGATGTTCAATTTGTATTCTAGTCAACACTTAGTGGGCGCTCAATAAATGCTGAATGTTTCAATAAAACAGTGAATCTCAAAATTATACTCGGCATTGGTAGAGAGTCTGATCTCTGTCTCTCTGAGCTGTAAATGTCTTTGGAGTCTCAGGTTTACATTTAAAAATGAGGTATTTTTAACATTCATGTATATTTGTGTGTATCTATTTATTTTTATTTATGTGTATTCACACACACATTTTTTAATAGCTTTGTGGTTTCATCACTTAATATTTAGTATGAACCAGGCAGAAGCAGATGTAGGTTTGTAGATACTAAAGCTAATAAAATTTTTGTTGGCTCATTAAGAAAATAAATACAAAATCGTATACATAAAATTAAGTATATAAGTAAATATTTATTTAAAATGAGAAAAGAAATTGCAACAAATACCACAAGCATCATAAAATCTAGAAAATCTTTATAAATTAAATGTTAACACACCTTTATACTACTTTCTTTTTATTTTCTTTTGTCTTCATACTGTTTGATTACCACTTCAACACATGAATTATACAATATCATGTTCTACAGAGTAGAAAGATAATTTAGTCTTTGCAGCATAATTGACTCTTTAATTGAATTGTTTTACTATTACTGATATTAGAAAAACTTTTTTAGCGTCATAGCTCATTATTTATAATATTATATAAATTATGGGGCTATTTTATTTAAAAAAATTGGGAAAAGCTTTGACTGTATTTCACGTGTAAGCTATAACAAGATTTGGAAGAATTTCCTAGACAATAGCTGCCGGCTGCATGCATTTCAAACCTCGTTTCTCCTCTATTACCTGTATACTTTCAGTGCTAGGTGCTACAGGACAAGTTCATCTATCTTGCGATACAGGCTCTTGCCCTTCACCTTCTTGTCTTGATACTGGAGGAATCAGCACAGAAGGCATAACCCTGGAATGCATTCCTTCACCAAAATAGTAATATCTCAACCATGCATACACATTATTCCACTAAACCTAAATGAACATATCCCCCACTCAGCTTACTCTTAGCTGAATCCAAAAACTGATCTTATCCATTTCAATTAACCTGATATGAAAGAAAGCTGATGACGGGGGAAACAGAATCCTTAAGTGATTATGGATAAATATCCTATGTTTTCATATTTATAAAAAGAAAAGAACCTGTGCAAGGATTTCAAGGGGACCTCCCAAGGCTTTGAATGAGTTCTGCAAGGAAATTTTCCTAATGGTAAGGTTTGGCTTCATGGTAAATCCAACTCTGGTTTAGGTATTATTCTTTTAAGTGGTTTACTTGTATTAGCTCAATTAATAACCATATTAAATCTTATACTACTATAATTATCCCCACTTAATAGTTGAGGAAAATTGAGGCCTACGAAAATTAAGAAATTTGTCCAAGTTCATAAAATTAATGGTTGGCCAAGATAAGCATCTGCACTGAGGTACCTTCTGAGTGGTTAGTTATTTGTTCATTGCTGTGCTTGTTTTAATATTACACATTTAATTCCCTTTCTAAAGTCTTCTTAAAATTGAGCCTATAGAAATATATGCACTGTTTATCCTGTGGAGTTGTCAGGTATTCCAGCCCACTGCTCTATATATCTAGATAAGCCTAAACCTCATTTTAAGAAGCATGGAACAAGCATATTGTACTCTTTGTTTTCTGTTTCTCAAAAATGAACATATTAGGGACTATGTGATTGATTTCTCAAGTTGTGCACCTGTACATAGGTCTAAGAAATCTGTCACTATCTGATACTATTTACTATAATGCCAACATATTGCTGATCCAGTCTTATAAAATATTATATTTATTTATTTAATATCATCTGTCTACCAATGCCAATCAAACATGATATTCAAAGTCAGATGTATAACTTGTAATTACGCAAAAAAGGTATATCTAGTAACTTATTTTCAAACACAATCTTGACTTTTCAAGATTCATAAAAGTCACAGGTACATCTTATATCTTACAAATCTTAAGGAAATCTAAGGAAGACACAACTTAAAGCCTAGGGTTATCCATTTTATTAATTATCATGTCACCAGCAGTGCTCTTGGTAATTGCAATCAGCAACAGAACACTGTATAAAAGTCATCACTAATAATATTTTCACTGTTAATGCTGATGAAACATCTGCTATGTATCAGATAACATATATGCTTTATTTCAATTGAGCCATAAAAAAATTTAAAACTTGTAAGATAGGTATTATCATATCCTTCTTTTGGTGAAGTTGAAGCTAGAAGTTAATTAATTTACCCCAAACTATGTGGCTAGTTAAAAAAGACACAGGACTTAAAACACCAAAGCTCAAGTAGTTTTCACAAAAGCCTGTTGCAATATAAGAGATAAATTTGTGGAAAACATCTTTTTGAACATTATATTAGTTTCTTAGGGCTGCCATAACAAATTACCACAAACTTGGTGGCTTAAAATAACTGAACTTTGCTGTTTCACGATTTTGAAGGCTAGAAGTACAAAATCAAGATGTCAGGAGGACCATGCTCTCTCTGAAGGCTCTAGGAGAGAATCTTTCTTTGTTGCTGTTTTTGCTTTTGGTGGTTACAGGCAATCCTTGGTGTTTCTTGGCTTGTAGCTGCATCATCCCAATTTCTGTCTCTGTCGTAACATAGCCTTCTTCCCTGTATGCATCTCTGTGTATCTCCAACTCTCTTTTTCTTGATCAGGGTATCAGTCATTGGATTTAGAGCCCACATTATTTCAGCATAACTTCATCTTAATTTGATTAGATCTGCAAAACCCCTTTGTCCAAATAAGGTCACATTCACAGGTACCAGGGTTTAAGACTTGCATATAACTTTTTTGGGACATAATCCATCCCACTAAGACGGTCTTCATTCTGTAGAGTCCAAGTGTATTCTTCTCTCTATCTTGCCTTATCAACATGTTTGTATCTCCTTATGACTTGGGTCAGAAATCTCCCTGTTTTTAGTTTTTTTTTCTTTTTTTGGTTCCAATTCTTTTTTTTTTAGGATTTCCCGGGTTCTTGACCCTTTTAGTTTTTTTTTTCCCATCCCCTCCCGCCTCCCATCTGCCTGACACCCAATAAATGTTGCTAGTATATGTGTACATAAGTGCTGAAATAAAAAAATAAAAGTAAAAATTAAAAAAACAGAAAGTTCCAGAATTCATGGAGTAGTTTCTTCCACTCCTAACAAAAACCCAACAATTTCTTTCTGTTATATTCATTAAGGCCTTATTCACTGAAAATACTGTTACCTATTAAACATATAAAATGATCATTTTTATATGTCTTTGTCACCTACAATGTCTATCAGAAGTAAACATGATATACATTCAAAGATTATTTATTGATTGGATTAAAGTGTCTTTATTTGATGGCAAGACAAACTTTTCATTTTTGCTGTAGATATTTTGGATTTTCTTGTATAATATATAGCATATTTTTATTTAATTTGAAATTCAACAGATTATCTCTTTATATTTGAGAATGAGACAGATTTCTCCAGATGTTGAAAGCTATGATAAGTTATTGAGATATCATATCTAACTATAGAAAAGGGAAAAATCCTCAAATTATTTACATGTGGATAGCCAATGTTAGGACTATTTGTTAGAATCTGCAAATTCTGAAAATGATATATGATAAACTACTGAAAGTTGCTGGGAAAAACCATCTCCCCCAATAAGAATTTATTTGGTGGAATGCTATTCAATTCTATTTGATTCTATTTGATTTAATTCAACAAAAATTTTTATTGAAATACAATTATTTATAAAAAGATTTAGGAGCTTCAAATATGTGTAAAACATTTTCTCTGAAGAAAATGAAAGTTAAATTAGTATTCACGTACAATATAGACAATATTTACAAAATATGTATTATGTATCAGAAAATATTCCAGATATTCTTTTTATAAAATAGTACATTTAATTTACATAATATTACTGAAAAATATGTATTATTATGAATATTAAACTTTAGAAAGCTTAACCTCAAAAAAACTGGAAGAAAGGGAACAGATAGAGTTTAAAAATAATGGTAATTTTATAATATAATTATTCACTATAATAGCAAAAATTTTTATGTCCTTGCCATGTCCCAGTAATTGTTCTAAACATTTTACGTGAAGTCTCATTTCACACACACTTGTATATTATTAAACACTTGCATATTAGTAACATACTATTGTCTCCATTTTATGGATGAGGACTGGGACACAGAGCAGTTAAGTATCACACAGGAAACAGCAACTGGGCCAAGATTAAGGTAACTATTTCAGGGCAACCCAGCTAGTAATTGTGAAGCTAGAATTTCAACCTGGGTTTGTGTGACATCCAAGGTCCATGCTTTTTTCCCTCTTTCATGCTGTGTCCAGGTGCTTAAAAAAATAAAGCCATATGCATATGAAACTATAAAATAAGGCCAAGTGTGATATGAGCCGAAAGTGTTATAAATTGCCATTGGAATTCAGAGGACAGCTGAGCTGATTAGGGAAACTTTATTGGTGGAGTTGTCCTTTTAACTGATTCTCAAAGAGTGAGTCAAATTTTAGCAATAACACATACTTTACATGATTTCAATAAGTGCATCCATGATGTTTCCTAGAAATTTCATAGTTTTTTGTATAGATCTCTATCTGTAAAATGAACTTTGAATAGTAGATAGACACCAACAGAGAAATAAAGCATGCATGCCTCACAGTATGCAAAAAAAAAAAAATGCATGGAGGACAATTACGATTTTCTTTGAAAGGGAAGGTGAAGACTGGCACTTGAGACAGGAGAAGCTGGAGAGGTGAAATGTATTTACACACATCCATCCCATTTTCTAATTTTCATGAGCAATGAGTGCTTAAGAGGAGGGAACAAAGGTATCTAGCACTGTTATGGGTAAATAGAGAGACTCCTCTCATCTAAAATACTTACCTGCAATGTGCTCTGTGCTCTAGGCGAAGGTGTTCTGAGTGCCTAAGGAGAGTCACACCCAGGACAAAATCTGGTGTGGCTCACTGTGAAAGCAACCGTTAAGAAGTTCATCATAACACTTCATCTGTGTATTAGAGAGTTAAGAAATAGTCATTGTGGGAGTTGATTTCAAGAGATAGAGCATATCATGCAGTTTAGTTTTAGTCATTCTACTCATACCTCAGATTTCCTCAGGTCTGTGTTGTTTTCTGTTAATTAACTCTTTTGAACCACTGGATAGAATACTTGGCAGTGGAGGGCCAGACCATCCAAAAATATCTGCCATCTACTGAATGCCTACTAATTGCTAAGAACCTTAAATATGTTGTGTCTATTCCTATAAGTACTGTGTTGATAAAGAAATTCAAGTTAATATAAAATAAGTAACTCATTTAGTGTTTATAGGCTTCTAAGAGACAGGAGCAGGATTGGAACGCAGATTTGTCAATTTCAAAGGTCATTTTCCTGCCAGGCGCTGTGGCTCACGCCTATAATCCTAGCACTCTGGGAAGCTGAGGCGGGCGGATCGCTTGAGGTCAGGAGTTCAAAACCAGCCTGAGCAAGAGCGAGACCCCATCTCTACTATAAATAGAAAGAAATTAATTGGCCAACTAATATATATAGAAAAAATTAGCCGGGCATGGTGGCACATGCCTGTAGTCCCAGCTACTCGGGAGGCTGAGGCAGCAGGATTGCTTGAGCCCAGGAGTTTGAGGTTGCTGTGAGCTAGGCTGACTCCGTGCACTCACTCTAGCCTGGGCAACAAAGCAAGACTCTGTCTCAAAAAAAAAAAAAAAAAAGGTCATTTTCCCATCCAAGTGCTAACCAGGCCCGACCTTGCTTAGCTTCTGAGATTGGGTGCATTCAGGGTGGTAGACCCATAGACCAAAGCTCATTTTCTTATACAAAGCCAACACTAAGGAAATATTTTTTCCTGAGTTTTGAACAGGGGCTCAGGTCAAACAAAAGGTCATTTCTTTCTTTGCCTTGACTACTGTAAAATAAAGTAGACTGCAAGCCCTGGGCATCTTAGACATAAGAGTTACATAAACCATAAGACATATTTAATCATGATAAATATGGGTAATATATTTCTTGGGTTATTGTCTCATTTATGTAGTATTTATTAGTCATTATTCAATCTAGCAATTAGAATCTAGAAAGCTGGAAACATGAATGTTATTGGCTTTGCTAAGTCATTTTCAGCACACGGCTGTAGTACAGTTTAGGATCTAGTTTAAATACAAAAGCCATTCACGTACTAATGTGAAATTTTATACTGACCAACCTTGAAATAAATACAAGTGTTGAATTATTGAAAGGCTCCAAAATTCAGAAAAGGTAATTCACAGTGATGTGTAAAGCCCGGATCTTTAATGTTTTACAGGTTTGTTTCATTTTAATGACTGCTAAAAAAGAAAGCATTAGTAGAAAAATTTCATTTTATCCTATTTCAGGAGACTTATATGTAATATTCAATAATGTGCTTAACATGAGAGAGTACTGGCTTATTTTAAGGGCGAAGGCTTATAATTCATATATATATGAACAAATCTGGAATCAAACTATTTCATAATAATTTTCTATAAACCCACATATTACCAAAATGTGAAATTATGATTGCCAAAATGATTTCATATATGATTTCAACTTGATTATTGTTATATATTTTAGTATTTTATTTTATGTAAAATATGTTTTAAAACCCCTTGAGATACAGTTAATAATGATCACACAAAATATTATGTTTTTAAAGAAAAATAGAATTATGGTCCTCTATTACTAAGTATCAATAAATTTCCCTTAACCGGAATGGGGAATTTTGATTAATATTTTTCTTTGTATTCAAGCTTAATAATTATATATCTGCAGTAATATTAGTAGCTAATAATCACTGTACTATCTTAAGGATACTATAGTAACTAGGTGTTAACTCAAAAACACCAATCTTTCAAAAGAAAGTTGACACCATTTTGGAAGAGTAAAATTTTCTGAAGTATTAATGAAAAAAAGCTTCAAAAATATATGTTCTTATATTCCTTATGTAAAACGTTTTACCTAGTGGATGTGTTAAAAGAAAAAAGTCACTTTGCCAGGTGCAGTGGTGTGTGCCTGTAGTCCTAGCTACTCAGGAGGCTGAGGCAGGAAGGAGGAGGACTCCTTGAGACTGGGAGTTCAAGTCCTGGGCGACATAGCAAGAACCCATCCTTTAAAAAAAGAAAAAGTGAAAAACCCAAAAAACCCTTCGATTTTATATTTAAGAACAAAACCAAGAATAATTACTATGTAAGCGGAATCAATACCTCATAGGATTAGAAAAATGGCGGATTAGTGGTGACCTCCCGGCTCTCTGCTCCCAGAGTAGGAGGCTAAGAACGAGGACAGCTACAGGCGAGTGGATCAACTCTCCCACAGGAACAGCATCGGGAATCTGCAAGGAAGCAGTGGGAGGAGCAGCACTGGGGAAAAAAAAAAAAAAAGAAAAAGGTGAATTGGAGAATCCACCTCAAAGTTTGGAGAGTGTGAGAGACACAATAGGGAATAGAGTGCGGGACGTGCGGGGCAGTGTGGTCTGACCCACAGGAGGAGGACTCCTCCTCCACCGACCTCCACATCCCCTCAGGCCGGGAAGCGCCTGGAGTCAGTGGGAAGTTGAGGCACGGGCTGAGGGGCAGCGTGGAGGAGAGACAAAGGCGGGAAACATCGCGAACTCTCCAGTGCTCCGTGCGAGGTCCGCACTGGGCGGGGGAGGGGCTGGTCTGGGCGGACAATTCCCGGGTCCCCAGGAGGGAGTTTGGAGACGGGCTTCTCGCCTCTGGTGGCTTCAGGGACCATAACAAGGGAGGTGAACGCCAGAAGGGAGGCTCTGCCCTTGGAAGCCGCTGAGACTTGGCCGGTGCAGGGTGGGACAGAGAGTAACAGATCCCTCCTACTGGACGGCTGTGAGTCAGCCATGAGGGAAGCAGTGGGGACGGGTGGGGCCTCGTTGAGACGGCCTGCCAAACCCAGCACCCGCTGCCCCCAGCAGTCGCCTCCAGTGCCGGCTCTCTGTGGGTGGGCGGGCAGCTGCCGTTTTGGGGGGGGTCCACAGTCTAAAAACGCTGTGGCACGATGACGAGCTGGGCATGACAGTTCTCCAGCCCAGCAGGGCAGGCCCAGGCAACGGGACCCAGAAGGCGCCACTGCCACTGCCCGGCAGAGCAAGCCCAGCCCTGGAAAAGGGGAGCGAGGAGAGAAGCTGCTCTCTGAACATGCCTCCCCCAACCCAGCCACTTGCCTTTTCCTGCCCTGAAAGGGTGGAGTAAGGAGAGAAGCCACTCTCTGGGCTGAGGTGGCCCGTGGCCTTAGAGGCGCTTTTCCCTCGCCCAGCCACTTGTTCTTCACACCCACCAAACCCTGCCCTTGGAGGGGCTGAGTAAGAAGGGAAGCAGCTTTCTGAGCTGAGACCCCATTTCCCTCCCTCAGCGGCGTCTTCGTCAGCCGAGCGGCTGGTGTTTCCCGCCAAATAGTCAGGCCCCGCCCTTGAATGGGCGGAGTTACGCGAGAAGCTGCTCTCTGGGCTGAGTTGCCTCACGGCCTCAGAGGCAGTTTTCCCCCTGCCTGGCTGCTTGTACCTCACACCCGCCAGACAAACTTTGGAGGGGCGGAGTAAAGAGAGAAGCCATTTTCTTGTCTGAGACCCACGGTGGCCCCTGGCAGCCGCCCTACCTCTACAGCCCAGCGGCTTGACTTCCCCTCAGGTGGGGACAGACCGCAGCCTCAGAGAAGAGGAGAAATGAGAGAAGAGGTTTTCTGGACTGGAGCTCAGGGCAGTCTCAGGCAACACCCCTTCCCCAAGCCGGCAGAGCAGGCTACACCCTTGGAGGTAGGGGGAAAGGAGAAAAGTCGCTTTCTCTGTGTGAATGGGGAGACTCTGTGGGACCTTGGAGCTAAAGCAAAGGGGGGCAGACTGTTGAATCACTCCAGCGGGTTGGTTTTGATCATTTGAAAAGACCATAAAACTAGGGCTCCGCCCTTGGTGAGGCAGCTTTGGGGCTTGTGGTCTGGGAAGAAAATCTTGGCCAGGGTCCTCGGCAATTGCACCAGTTGGCACCCCCCCACCCGGGGCTGCCTCACGAGAGTGGCAAAAGAGCCCTGCACAACATATTAGCAGCTCTACCTTAGCAGCAGGTCAAGCAACCGCAGAAGTGTATGCTCTCAGGCTTGCAGACACCTGTTGCTCTTCTTAACCCACCTAAAGTGGCAACAGGGCTCAAGTAACCCTTGGTAGTGACAAGACATTTCCCAAAGGCTGGGGCACTTGTATACCCCATTTTGGGGTTTAGAGCTCAATACAAAAGTATTGGAATACCTTGATAATCGACTCTTCCACACAAACTACAAGCAACAACAGAGAGGGTAACCCCATAGCCCAACACAGTGCCTTCCTTCTCAGACTAGTGGAGGGCAGTGGAGTCACTCACACAAGAGTGATTCACCACCTGGGAGACTAAGCAAGGGATCCAAATTCACTAATCACCTTTGTCAAGAGGTGAAGACAACAGGTCAGAGACAATCCAACAGGCTAAAACACGTCTAAGGCAATACAGAACCAGAGCTCATCTCCCCAGCACTGTCAAGGAACGTCTCTTAATTCTGTAAAGTCACTTTAGTATGGACATTTTATCAATGTTGATTCTACCAATCCATGAGCCAGGTAGATTTTTCCATCTGTTTACATCGTCTACAATTTCTTTTCTTAGTGTTTTGTAGTTCTCCCTGTATATGTCTCTCACCTCTTTTGTTAAATATATTCTTAGATATTTAATTTTCTTTGAGGCTATTATAAAAGGTTCCGCAGTTTTTATTTGAATTTCAGCTTGACTGATATTGGTGTATAAGAATGCGTCTGAACACTAAGGCGCTCACACAGTAGTAATATTCTTTGGGGATTGGGGATGGGTAAACTCACAACTAATGGATGCGGTGAGCATTGTAGTGGGAGAAAGAGCATGCCTGAAATCATGGTTTGGGTATGGCGCAGTCATAACATGTAACCAAAATGTTTGTACCCCCATAATATCCTAAAATTAAAAAACAATAGTGAAGAAATCTTGCAGAAAGCACCTTAAGACATTTACTACCATATGAGTTATATTTGATTCAGGCTAGTTTTGGCCTTGGGTCCTCATCAAGCAAAACCCTGCAATTGGTTTGTGAAACTCTTACTTGTTGATGTTCTTATTGTTACAATTAATATTGACAATTTAATTCTGAAAACATGGATTGTGTTGTATGTAACTCATGCTCAGACGACAATAAAAAATAACAAATTAGAAAAAAAAAAAAGAAGTGCAAAGTATAAATGTTCACCAAATCTGGACTAGCCTTGTTTCCAAATGTGTTTGGTCGTGGTTTTTACTGTTTTCATTAAATATGTTTTGAGATGAATAGAGCAAATTGGGACAGAAAGTAATGAGATTCACTCAGATCCCATTCCTCCTGTGATCTATGCCTCCCAAAGAAAGATCAAGAAATCAACAGGGATTTTTCCCATCAAGAATGGTGACCATGTAACATCATCTGCATTATGTGTGCAACATGATGTTTTTAAGAAATACTTCTTAAAGGAAGTGACTTTTTTTTAAATTTCTTCAAGAATTTTATCTTCTCAATATTAAAAAAAAAAATAAAACAACACCTCTCAGCAAAACTAACATTTATGGTAAAAATAAGGCATTAGTGGGAACAACTGGGAAGCATTTGCTGGTGCCAGGCCTGTATCTGGAAGCATTTGTTTCCTGGAGAAAGTGGTGAGATAAAGTAAGCTCTTTTATCCTCTGAATCCCAAACACCAATGACTCAAAACCCTGTCCCAGTGCAGGGCTTAATCAGAGGTAGAGCTGAACCTTGAAAGCACAGATCTTTCATAACAGGGTCTTTGTATATAGGACTGGCTGTGGTGTGTAAGGTACGATTCCACTGAATTGACTTGTTAAATGGACTTTTCAAAGCAGTTGTATGTATATTTGAACTATGCAATTCCACATCAACACACACACACACACACACATACACACACACACACACACACACACATGAAGAAACCCAAATAAGATGTTCTATATTAAAGCTTATGGAAAATTAGAAGTAAAATAAAATACCTTATAAACAAGTGAATATCTGTGTTTCCTTGGAACAAGTAGATTATGGTTTATATGGAGCTGATAAGTCATTGTTAAGCATTTTCTGAGTTTTTCATGACCAAATTATAACAAGAGCTTAAAGAATAATACTTGTCTTTGGGCTAGTTTTTTTTTTTTTTTTTCAGCTTCTCATATTTTTGAAGGAAATCAAATTAGATTAAAGCTATTTCATATTAGGACACTTATAGTAATGCTTATGAATTTGAAAAGTAGTAATTAGGAGTGTCTTTCAAAATAGCTTTTGAGTCTTTTTTTTTTCACCCTGACGTCCTCAAAGAAGTTTATTTTCAGACTTATGGGACTTCCTAAATGTTACCAATCTTGAATTGTGCATCAAGAATTTCAGTAACTTGAGCGTTACAAGTTGGTTATTCTCTTGCTTAACTTATCTTTGATTAATAAAGACAATCTTCATGACTACAGATTATGTTTTAAATTTATTCAAGGAAAAAATATAGATATTTTGTTTTGTAAATGTAAACATACATTTGTAAATGGGTTTTGAAAGAATAGGCAAGCATCATTCAGAGGACAGACTGATTAGAAACAAATTTTAGCATTCACTTGCCTATTAAATATACAAAAGCCCAATGTCAAAGATAAGGGAAATATTGAAAAATAGTAAAAGTCTCGTAGTCACTATTAATATGTGTTCACACCGCAATAATTATCTTCAGGCTATGCTTTGTGTTATTCTTAACTTATAGGGATTCTTCAATATTGAAAAGATCAGAGAAATAAAGAGTCTATTATACTCACTCTCTCCGGAGCAGTTCAGTATACGGGACTGAAAGCGTGAGCTGTAGAGATCATGAAATTTGTTTTTATATCTGTGCTCACCCGTGAAAAGAGGAAAATAACATACACCTGGAAGGGTTGTGAAGATTCAAATACATATGAGCAAACCAGCTGGCCAAAGGTATGTGCGTGTATTCCTAAAACAAAAGCCAAAGCAATTATTATTCAACTGAAGATTTCAGTAAATGGAAATTTTAGGAAAACAGCATTTCAGTTCAAATTCACAATTGTCACCATTCATTATACAGTAGGTTTATATTCTTATAACATAAGTACTCAGAAAAGTTGTTTTATTTTCAAAAATTGTTTTAGGTATCTCATTGAAGTTGCTCCAAGAACCAGAATGAGTTTCTGAATGTCTGAGGATCTTTATCAATAGTCTCACTTTCATTGGTACTAAGCTGTAGAGTCCCCAGTGCTGACTTCTACTTTAAACACCATAATTTTAATTGCTGTGTTTGCATTAATTCATTCAATACATTGTTTTGATACTGAACAATGATATTTCAGAACTCTCAATACCTTTAAGGACAGAAGTGGTAAATTTATGGTGGCTAAATCACTTTTGTTTCTGAAAGCTAACATTTTGAAGAGTCTTTATAGTCATGCAGGTGTAAAGTAAGTACCATAAACATACCTGTAATTTTTTATAAAGACATCCAAATTAGCAATAATCCAACAGCAGATAGTTCAGTCTGGGAT